CGGGGTAACCCCGAGGGGGGTGGGGGGATGCTGGGGGGACACGGGGTAACCCCGAGTGTGGGGGGGACACCGGGGGGCCACGACGCTCCTCTGAATGGGCTGAGCCGCCCCCCCGCTCCCCCCACGACCCCCCCACGGGGCGCGGCCGGACACGCGTGGCCGGTGCGACCGGCGCTGGGGAGACGGCGGCCAACCAGAGCATTAAAGGGGCCGGGAGCTCTCGGGCTCCGCTCCGCCGCCTTTGTCCCTCCTCCCGCCCGGCACCGGCGGCACCGGCGGCGGCACCGGCGGCCCCGGCGGCCCCGGCGGCCCCAATGCACCGGCCCCCGCCGCCGCCGAGCCCCGCACCATGCCCGAGCCGGCGGCCGCAGCGCAGGACGGCGACCGGCCCCGGCGGGCCCCGGCCGGGGAGGAGCGAACGGAACCGGCGGCCCCCACCGGCGTCCTGGGTACGGGGGAACCGGGCGGAGACCGGGGCGGATTGGGGGGGACTGAGGGGGGGTGGGGGCTGCGGGTGGCGGCGGGAGGGACGCGGGGGGGACGGGGAGGGCGGGGGGGGGCAGCTCCCTGCGGCTCGATGCGGATGTCGGCCGGGATGCGGCTCGCCGGGACGGCGGAGGGGGGCCGGTGCTCCCGGCGGGGCTCTGAGCATCCCCCCGGGACAGCTCCGTGTGCCACCCCCGGGGGTCCCGCGCCGGGGCGGGGGGGTCTGCGGTTCTCTGGGGATGGCTGCTGTGCGCGTGTGTCCCCCCGGGACAGCTCCGTGCCCCCCGGGATGGGCTCCACGTGCAGCTCCGTGTCCCCCACGCACCGGTGACCACCCCAGCACCGCGTCCGTGCACCCCCCGTGTCACCCCCCGCCCCAGGAAGGTCTTTTTGCTCCCCCACCCACCCCGGACAGGCCAGTGTCCCCCCCCCGACCAGCTTCGTACCCCCAGGGCAGAGGGGTGGTGCAGGGCGGAGGCTTTGGGTTGGGGGTCCCCAAGCTGTCATTGGGGTCCCCCCCCGCGTGGCGCTGGGCCAGGTGACACCCCCCTGTTGGGGGTCCGCGTGGCGGGTCGGGCTGGGGGAGGGCAGGCAGGGCCTGCTGCCCGCTGTGCCACCGAGAGGGACTCCCGCCTGGGGGTGGGTGACCCACTTCGTGCCCCCCCCCGGGACGCGGCCGCTCCCCCGAACGCTCCGTGCCCGGCGGCCGCGGGCTCCGCTCGGCGGCGGGGCCGTGCCCGAACCCGCCACGCTGCAGCTCCGGTGACCTTATCCCGGGAGCCAAGGTGAGCGGCACCGCCGGCGGGCCGGGACACGGGGGGCCGCGGGGACCGACGGGGACACCCGGGGGGGCACGGCGGGGCGGCGCTGGCTGGGACCCCGTGCCCCGTCCCCACGGAGCCCTCGTGCCGCTTCGGCGGCGGCACCGCGTGCTGGGGGGGCAGAGGGGCCTGAGGGACCCGTGGCCGGAGCGGGACAAAGGTGGGTCACCCCCCAGCCCCAGCCTGGGTGGGGGGGCAGGAAAGGCGCTGGGGACCCCTCTTTTCCCATGACCTTGGGCAGGGAAACCCCCCCTGCACCTGCACCCGAGCCCTCGGGGTGGGTGCCTGCCGGGCATCGCCCCGGTTGCCCACGCGTGTGCCGGCGTGACCGTGCCCAGGGCCGGGCCCCCACCGTGCCCAGAGCTGCCACCCGTGCCGGGTGCCACCACTCCCGGCGGGACATAAATAATTCAGGGTGGTGAGCTCAGCCCGCCGGCGTCACCCGGGGAGCGCTGCCACGGCCACCGGTGCCCTGTGCCCGCCTGGCACCAGGGGACACAGCACCCCGGGACACAGCACCCCGGTACTCGGGCACCCCAGCACCCCAGTACCCAAATAACCCAGTGTCCAGGCACCTCAGCACCCTGGTACCCTGGTAGCCCAGCACCCCAACACCCTGGTATCTCAGGACCTCGTCACCCCAGCACCCTGGCACCACAGCACCCCAGTACCCTGACACACTGGTACCTCAGCAGCCCAGCACCCTGTGCCCACCCAGCACCCCCCTGCAGCGCAGGGCAGGACACGGCCATGCCCAGGGTGCCGGACCAGTCCCCCTCCGGGGGTGGCAGCTTGGCATGGCAGCCTGGCACTGTCCCCAACTCCCACCCACAGAGCCGGGACAGGGCAGCCTTTCAGAGCCCGGCAGCTCAGGCGATGAGTTTGGGAGGTCTCAGCCCGGCCGGGGGGGTCCTGGCGGGTCAGGAGGTGCCCGCAGTTGGGGTGCCCGCAGTTGGGGTGCGTTCCCTGGGACGAGCTGCCGGAACAGGTTCGGCATTTCCTGTTTTTCTGGAACCCGGGGACCTTCCCAGCCCTGGGGCAGCTGGAGAGGCCGCGACATCCCCTGGGCAGTGCTGGCTGAGGAGGGGACACTGAGGCAGGGAGGGGGCTGGCCTGGGAGAAACGGGGTCCTGCGGGACCCCAGCACCGTTGGAAGCCCCATCCTGCCATCCCGGGGCAGGATTTTGGGATGTCTCTTGTCCCCACCCGCCCCAGGAGGTGCGATGGGGACACTGGGCTCGGGGGCCGCGTGTCCCAGCGGTGTGGCCACCCCACAGTGGGACGGGGGCCGTGTCCCGGTGCTGGCACCCGCCGGGGACTGTGGGGACTGTCCCCATCCCATCTCCCCGCGGCGGCGCGGGGCCTCCCCGGGTTTCCATGGAGACCAGCTGCTTTTTCGACATCCCCATTTTTCCTGCGGTTTTCCATCTCTCGGAGCCGCGGCCCTGCCGGATCCCGGCCCCGCCGAGAGGCTGCGGGCAGAGGTGAGCGCTTTTGGGGGGGCTGCAGGGGGGCACCCCGGGACGTCCCGCGCCACCGGCACCCCGGGGGTGCCAGGACACGCTGGCGGCTCCTCCCCGGCAGCTGTCGGGGCTGTTTTTGGGCACCCGGGGCTGTTTTTGGGCACCCGCAGCCGCCGAAGGAGAAACCTGAGCCCGGGGCAGCGTCACCGGGAGCGGGGCCGTGACCTCCGGCCGCGGCCGCGCCGGGGACAACCGGGGACAAGCCGGGGGTCCCCGCCCCGCCCCGTGACTCATCGGGGTTTGGGATCTGGTTCCCAGCGATGTGTGTGTGGGGGGGATACCCCACAGGATCCCGCGGCTGCTCATCCCTTCCCTCCCCCCGGCAGATAAACTCTTCGGGAAGCGGCTGCTCCAGGCCGGGCGTTACATCATGTCCCACAAGGCCTGGATGAAGACGGTGCCCACGGAGAACTGCGACGTGCTCATGACCTTCCCGGGTAGGGATGTGCCCGGGGAACCCGGGAGACCTGGAGCACCCGGGGGGGGCAGCAGGGGTGGGGGGTGTGGGATGTGGGGAGGGATGGGGACAGGGAACACCGGGAGGGATGTGGGATGTGGGGAGGGATGGGGAAGCTGGGCAGGGGTGAGAATGTGGGGATGGATGAGGGACACGGGGAGGGATGGGAACGTGGGGAGGGATGTGGGATGAGGAGATGGACGGGGGATGTGGAGAGCAAAGGGGTTGTTGGGGAGGGATACGAGACACAGGGAACAATGGAGGGGTGAGGAGGAATGGGGAGCAGGATGGGGACATGGGGAGGGGGAAAGGGTGGAAATCAGGATGGGGACTGGGATGGGAATGTGGGAAGTGATGGGGGCCATGGGGAGAGACGGGGGATGTGGGAAGCCATTGAGGACTTATGGAGTGATGGGAGACCAGGATGAGGGAGGGACATGGGGAGGGACGGGGGGTATCTGGAGGGGTGGGGATTGGGATGGGGCCCGGGATGGGGCCCTGGGGAGGGCTGTGGGCCGTGGCCCGTGCTGATGGTCCCCCCACAGACACCACGGACGACCACACTCTGCTGTGGCTGCTGAACCACATCCGCCTGGGCATCCCCGAGCTCATCGTGCAGGTCCGGCACCACAAGCACACGCGGGTCTACGCCTTCTTCGTCACCGCCACCTACGAGAGGTGGGCTCCCCGTGCCCCCCTGGCCCCTCAGCCATGTCCCAGATGTGTCCCTTCAGCCATGTCCCATCCGTGTCCCCTTGGCTGTGTCCCATCCGTGTCCCCTTGGCTGTGTCCCATCCGTGTCCCATCCATGTCCCAGCCATGTCCCAGCCGTGTCCCAGCCATGTCCCCTCAGCTGTGTCCCACTCCTGTCCCATCCCCAGCCCTCCATCCCCAACCCCTCAGCTACGTCCCCCCAGCCATGCCCCCTGGGTCATGTCCCCAGCCATGTCCCCTCAGCTGTGTCCCACTCCTGTCCCATCCCCAGCCCTCCATCCCCAACCCCTCAGCTACGTCCCCCCAGCCATGCCCCCTGGGTC